TCAAATTAATTACTAGTGAATAATGATTATTTACCGCTATTTATTCACTCTGTGAAAAATGACTACCCTCCTTTAAAACACATTTTTTTAAATAATTTTTTTAATAAAGTTTATACGTCAATGTGACAAAAATTCAACGTCACCAACTGTAACCAACTTCACAACAATTTGTCAAAATTAAATGACAATTTTAAGAAACGTCATGTTTTTTGTTACAAAAATTAATTAATTTATGCTTAAATCATACGAAAAAAAGGATTTGTTTACGTTTTTTTAATGTCAAAACTTTTATAAAGTCTTAAGCGGCCCTTACACGATCAATAGTATTGATAATATCAGTATTGACAATACAACCATCAATCCTCGTGGTAACCAGTCTCAATACTTCACTACCTTACATGATCAGTATTACTGTTAATACTTTTGTCAATAAGTTACGTATTTACCAAGAACAAGGTGAATCTACGTAGTTATTTTTCCCTTCCAAATATAGATAATCGTACAAAAGCTTGTGTAGATACTATTTTGGCACTTGGAACTACTCGTCCAGTGAAACGCAAATACAGGATGGAAGAATGGTTGAAGAAGAGAAATGAATATTCTCATCTAGTACTGTTGAAAGAAATCAGTCTCTACGATGTTGATGATTTCAAGAACTATTTTTTAATAGATGAAACAAACTGTTACAGATGGTTGAACCATTTTTGAAAAGACAGGATAGCAATATGAGAGGAAGTATAGGTAAGTATATAACTCTGAGGTACTTGCCATAATGTCCCCAGCAACTATCAGCAAAGCTGTAATAGTAACCTGTGAAACCTTTATATATGTTCTATAAGAATGATGGAGATAGTTTGTAATCAGTGTCATAATCATGGTAACTGGAACGAACACCATCTCCATCGTGTTGAACGTCTACAATTAATGGGTCGGTCATTTTCACCTCTTCTTCACAGACGCGCTGCTTGAACTAAACTGAGTGTAATGTAGAAAATCAGAATTAAACCTTTTTTTCAAATCATCTGGGCTAAAACAACATGTTTTTTCAGTGTGCTGATAGATATGTTTTGTTATTACTACAATTAAATAGAAGTATTTAATTTTGAATGTTGAGTTTATTACACTGAGTATTGATGGAAATATTGGCGCCAACCCTACACAGTCAATAGTATTATCAATATCCCCTCCAATTTTCAGTATTGATGCCCGAAAATCAGAAAATCCCGATTTTTATCAACACTCCATCAATATTTACCGTCAATAAAATTTTTCACCTTACACGGTCAACATTATTTAATAAAAATAGGAAAAAGTAAATACTTTTTGTGAGAAATATTAAAAATACTTAATTTATTCCAAAAAGTAAACATGTTTCGAAACAAATGTTTCATCTTCAGTACTTGAAATAATTACAAAATGATGGAAAAATTTTAAATATGCTGGAAAAGAAAGAAAACCAAAACTATTTCTTTTTTCTTTCTTTTAAAATGATTACCCATGAATAATGTTTATTCACTGCTATCATTCACTCTGTGAACAATAACTACCCCTTCAAAACTAATTTTTTTTAAATTTTTGATAAAGTTTAAATGTTAATGTGACAGAAATTCAATGTTACCAACTGTAACCAACTTCACAACAATTTGTCAACATTAAATGTCAATTTTATGCTTAAATCATACGAAAAAAGAAATTTGTTTACGTTTTTTTAATGTCAAACCTTTAGAAAGTCCTAAAAAAATTAAATTAAACTGACGTTTTTTGAAATTTTGATGCTTCAAATATTATTGAAGTCTGTAAAGTTGATTAGTTATCATATAATAGACAAATAAACAACTTCATGGTATTCTTTCATGCTGTATTCTTTATTAAAAATCCTTTAAAATGTGTCCAAACATTATGCACTTACCCCAAAAAACAAAAAAGTTAGAATAGAAACATTAAACTCGAAGTTAGCAACAATGAAGATAGCAATTTAATTTTTAAATATATTAATACAAACTTTAATCTTTTATTTTTTTTTATTAAATTTTTGTTTTTATGACAAATATTAAGACATTTTATAAAAATTAAGAATTAAAAATCAAAATGACATTGACATTTCAAATCGGAAGTTGCTTATATCTCGAATAATATTGGAATGACACGTATCATGTTTGGGCTCATTTTAAAGGATTTTTCACGACGATTACAAATATATCAAAATTGAGGTTGACATTTCTAACCGGAAGTTGACCATAACTTCCTTAATATTTAAGATAAATATGTCGTGTTTGCACTCACTTTAAAGGATTTTTAATGAAGATTACAAATATGTCAAAATCGAAGTTAACATTTTACACCTGAGGTTAGTTATCATATAATAGACAAATGGACAACTTCATAGTCCGTGTGTTAGTGTATTTTATTTTAACACAACCTAAACCTAAGCCTAAGCCTTGACGTCATAGAGATGGGCGGAGCTTATACTGACTCCAAACAATTTCGTTGCTAACCACAATTGCTAATGATAAATCGCCAAAAAATGTCATTTGAAATGTCATCGCTTAGTTTATTTTATTTTAACACTAATGAAAAATTGCATATGGTGATTTACCGTTAGCAACACAGTTAGCAACGAAAATGTTAAAAATATGACGTCAAGGCTTAGGTTGCTTATTTTTCAATTAGTGTTAAAATAAAATATACAAAGTGACTTTTTAAATAACATTTCTATGGCGCCTTTCTTTAGCAACGAAATTGTTTGGAGTCGGTATAAGCTCCGCCCATCTCTGTGACGTCAGACTTAAGCAGTCTATTTGTCGAAATTAAATGTCAATTTAACGAAATGTCATGACGTTTCAAATAATTATTAGTCTGTCAAGTTAATTACCGGTAAATAAAGATTATTCACTCTGTGAAAAATGACTTCCCTTTAAAACCAATTTTTTTTTTTTAATTTTTGATTAAAGTTTAAACGTCAATGTGGCACAAATTCAAATTTACCAACTGTAACCAACTTCACAATTTGACAAAATTTGATATGTGGCTGAAGTTAGATCCATATTCGAATCTTAAATATCATTATTATCACATATTATCTTTTAATATTTCTCGTTTTCAATAGCAAATTTAAAAGTTATTTTCTCAATAACTAGAGACTGCAGCACCCTGAGACTAGTCTAGATTATTGCATTAGGTCCTCTGGTATCCTTCTAGCCCATCAGCACCCCCAGATTTGCCGTAGGGGCCGAAGAGTGAATTTTTTAATATTCCTCGTTTTCAATATCAAATTCTCAATAACTAGAAACTGCAGTATCCTGGGACTAGTCTAGATTATTGCATTGGGTTCTCTGGTATCCTTCTAGCCCACCAGCACACCCAGATTTGCCGTAGGGGCCGATGGGTAAATTTTTTAATATTCCTCGTTTTCAATATCAAATGTAAAGATTATTTTCTCAATAACTAGAGACTACAGATTGGAATATGAATCTAACTTCAGCCACATGAATTTGTTTACGTTTTTTTAATGTCAAACCTTGAGAAAGTCCTAAAAACATTAAATTAAATTGACGTTTTTTGAAATTTTGACGTTTCAAATAATTATTAGTTTGTCAAGTTGATTTTACCCATAAATAATGATTATTCACCGGTATTATTCACTCTGTGAAAATGAGGGTAGTCATTAAAAGTCCCTTTAAAGCTCACTTTTTAAAATAAATTTTTGAATAAAGTTTAAACGTCAATGTGACACAAATTCAATGTCACCAACTGTAACTAACTTCACAACAATTTGTTAAAATTAAATGTCAACTTTATGAAACGTCATTTTTTTTACGAAAATTAATCAATTTATAATAAAATCATACGAAAAAAGGAATTTGTTTACGTTTTTTTAATATCAAACCTTTAGAAAGTTCTAAAAAAATTAAATTATATTGAAGTTTCAAATGATTATTAGTGTGTCAAGTTGATTACCCATGAATAATTCGCCGCTATTATTCACTCTGTGAAAAATGACTACCCTTTAAAACTCATTTTTTTAAATAAATTTTCGAATAAAGTTTAAACGCCAAGGTGACACAAATTCAACGTCACCAACTGTAACCAACTTCACAAGAATTTGTCAAAATTAAATGTCAATTTTATGAAACGTCATGTTTTTTTTTACGAAAATTAATTAATTTATACTTAAATCATACAAAAAAGGAATTTGTTTACGTTTTTTAATGTCAAACCTTTAGAAAGTTCTAAAAATATTAAATTAAATAGACGTTTTTTGAAATTTTGACATTTCAAATAATTATTAGTATCTCAAGTTGATTTATAAGGTAGTCGTGGACAAAAACAATAATTAAATAATTTAATTATAAATAAATGAATTTAACTTACTTTCTAGTTGGTTCATGATAAGTTTCGTGCGGCCTCAAATAATGATGTCCATAAGCAAACCTCTGCTCAGTTTTTGAATCCTTCCATAACCGTTCAATCCGAAATATATCCAAATCCGAGTATTTAATCGGCCCGATTGTATCATAAGTATGTTTCTTATTAGTCCCAGGAATCGGTATATCCCTCAAAACATAAACCGTATCCCCCTGCCTTAATTGGAGATCGCCCCTTAATAAAGTCATGTAATATCGATGCCCATGCTCGGTAAACTCGTCCGTTGGAATTTCATAATCAACTTTTCTTGGAACGCAACGTTCGCAATGATAACTAGGAGCTTGAACATCCGCCTTAACGCACTCGCAATGTTGCCAAACCAAGCATCTTTCACATTGAATCATCAAGCCTTCATCGCGATACATCCCGCAAATACATCGTATAACATCTTCCTCTTCACTTTTATTTTTACCCCTTATAAAATTAACCGGCGGTTTTTCCCCGACTTCATTTACGAATTTCGTCACATTTTGATGTTTTGATTCGACGTAAATCTTTTTTAACCTAGTCGCTGCAATCCCAATTTCGGACGTTCTTCCGTAATATTTTATGGCGTTCGCGAATAATCTCCCCATGTCTATATCGAAATTCTCGGCGGTTTTATAAACCCCACTTCCGATGTTTTGTTCGATCGTCGTTAAATCAATCGGATCTAAAATTTTTTGATAGTAATCGGCGACTTTTCGTTTTGAAGGTAAACTCAAAAAAGGGGCACATAAAATTTCATTTTTTTCGTCTTTCGCTTTTGAGATAATATTGAATAGGTCTTGGAGGAATCGAGCTAATTTCGCCGTCTTTTGTAACTCGGGGTTATCTTCAACTTGAGCTAACCTTCGTGTTTTTATGTTACGTTTTTGACGAAGCGCGTTCATGTGGTTAGCAAAATTCGAACTTGTGCTAGTTCCGTTTGTTGTTATGGTTGTTGTTTCAGTTGGGGTTGCTGTTAATGTTCTTGGTGTTATTGGTTGGGTTGTACCTTTTCCTCTTCTTGGCTATTTATTAAATAAAAAAAAAATAATGAGATTATTACAAAAAAAAAAATAAATCAAAGTCTTATTACTTTATATAAATTCCTTAATAAGAAACAATGATGTTGCAAAATAAAAGCTTTTTGTCCGTTAGTTAAAGGTTTCATGGGTGGTTGTGCCATAACTGGAATAGGAACTGGATGTGGAACAGGAACCTCCTTAAGTCCAGATTGCGCCTTCTTCGCTTGATTTTTCCTTGGCCTCCCAACTCTCCCCGGTCCACTAGACACAACAGGTTGCGCAGTTGGTTGTCGCACCCTTTGCGATTTCCCCCCAATAACCCCTCTACAAATATCGCTCCCACATCGACATTCTTGCCCATCAGCCGGGTTAAACAACGAAAAATTATAATCGTAAGTTAATTCCTCTCCAGCTTCTACATTCCTCAGCGAAAACAACGCCATACGAAACTGCCCATTAACCGACCACTTTTGTATCTCGCAATTTGGGGCGCAAGAATGATTCACGAATCGACCGTCACCTCCCATTCGATGCCCATCGATGACCATACCACCATCGAGGTGTAAACAATAATGGTGGGTGTCGTTTACGTATCTCGTTGCCATTCTTTCTTTGAATTCTTGATCGGAAACCACTTCGCCGACGTATTCCAAAATAAATTCCCCCCGCTTTATCGCTAAATTTGTTTTTACGCCCCACCCTTTATTCTCGGTCATAAATTTTTCTAATCCCGGGGCCCATTCGTGCCGTTGAATCCGTTGATTTTGACATTTATGACTTGCTGGACACTCGGCCAACACTAAACGGTTAATGCAATCGTCGCCGCAACCGGAAACGGGGGTACAATTACATGATTGCGGCTCGCAGGCGCCCATCGGAAGTTTAACGTTGTAGACGTTTGTACGAATTTTCCGATAATTCCAAGATGGGACGATGTCTCTTCCGGGTAATTGGGAATGAGTGTGTTGCCACCATAAATCGTAGGGTAATTGAAATGGAATTTTTCTACATCTTAAGTATTTTCCGCAATGATACGGAGCTGGTAGAAGGCCATATGGGTGTTCTTCTGGGTTGTAAACTAATCGGGTTTTTGTAGTTGAAGATTCCGTTCGTTTTAAACGTGCTGTTTCACTGTGGGATAAAAAAAAATTTCAAATTAAATTAATCACTTTAACTTTTAAGCGCTTCATAAAATTTATGATAATTTTCGTTTTTTTATATATCTTCTTATATTATCCATTTGAAAGGATTTAACGCTAAAGTATTCATGTAGCTATGGATTGTGAACATGGTGAAAAAAAAATGTAAAAAAGATATATTGACATCAATTAAAAATTTTTTTCAACCTCTTCATATCTACATAATTTTTTCAAAATTGTTTTTCTAAGAAATGTTATCATCTAACATATATCTTAGAATATATCATCTTAAAGAGGACATTTTGATCTTTAATTTAAAATAAACATCATCTTTGTACTCCAAAAAATAAACCGGAAGTGATTTTTTAAAAATATCGATATTTCTCCAACTTGTTCATACATAATTTTTTTCAAAACTGTTTTTCTAAGAAATTTTATCATCTAACATATACGTTAGAATATATCATTTTAAACAGGACATTTTAATCTTTAATTTAACTTAAACATCATCATTGTACTCCAAGAAATAAACCGGAAATGATTTTTTAAAACATCGATATCAATTAAAAATTTTCTTAATCTCTTCATACATAATTTTATCAAAAATTTTTTTTTTAAGAAATTTTATCATCTAACATATATCTTAGAATATAATTTAAGATAAACATCATCTTTGTACTCCAAAAAATAAACCGGAAGTGATTTTTTAAAAATATCGATATTTCTCCAACCTCTTCATACATAATTTTCTCAAATTTTTTTTTCTAAGTAATTTTATCATCTAACATATATCTTAGAATATATCATCTTAAAGAGGACATTTTGATCTTTAATTTAAAATAAACATCATCTTTGTACTCCAAGAAATAAACCGGAAATGATTTTTTAAAACATCGATATCAATTAAAAATTTTCTTAATCTCTTCATACATAATTTTATCAAAAAATTTTTTTTTAAGAAATTTTATCATCTAACATATATCTTAGAATATAATTTAAGATAAACATCATCTTTGTACTCCAAAAAATAAACCGGAAGTGATTTTTTAAAAATATCGATATTTCTCCAACCTCTTCATACATAATTTTCTCAAATTTTTTTTTCTAAGTAATTTTATCATATAACATATATCTTAGAATATATCATCTTAAAGAGGACATTTTAATCTTTAACTTAAGATAAACATCATCTCTGTACTCCAAAAAATAAACCGGAAGGGATTTTTTAAAAATATCGATATTTCTCCAACCTGTTCATACATAATTTTTTTCAAAATTGTTTTTCTAAAAAATTTTATCATCTAACATATATCTTAGAATATATCATCTTAAAGAGGACATTTTAATCTTCAATTTAAGATAAACATCATCTTTGTACTCCAAAAAATAAACCGGAAGTGATTTTTTAAAACATCGATATCAATAAAAAATTTTGTCTAACCTCTCCAAACATAATTTTTTTCAAAATTGTTTTTCTAAGAAATTTTATCATCTAACATATATCTTAGAATATATCATCTTAATGACGACATTTTAATCTTTAATTTAAGACAAACATCATCTTTGTACTCCAAGAAATAAACCGGAAGTGATTTTTTAAAGACATCGATATCAATTACAAATTTTCTCCAACTTCTTCATACATAATTTTTTCAAAATTGTTTTTCTAAGAAATGTTATCATCTAACATATATCTTATAATATATCATCTTAAAGAGGACATTTTAATCTATCATTTACCATAAACATAGTCTTTGTACTCCAAGAAATAAACCGGAAGTGATTTTTTAAAAATATCGATATTTCTCTAACCTGTTCATACATAATCTTTTTCAGAACTGTTTTTCTAAGAAATTTTATCATCTAACATATATCTTAGAATATATCATTTTAAAGAGGACATTTTAATCTTTAATTTAACTTAAACATCATTATTGTACTCCAAGAAATAAACCGGAAGTGATTCTTTAAAAACATCGATATCAATTAAAAATTTTCTCCAACCTCTTCATAATTAATATTCTCAAAATTGTTTTTCTAAGAAATTTTATCATCTAACATATATCTTAGAATATATCATCTTAAAGAGGACATTTTGATCTTTAATTTAAGATAAACATCATCTTTGTACTCCATGAAATAAACCGGAAGTGATTTATTAAAAATATCGATATTAATTACAAATTCTCTCCAACCTGTTCAACATAATTTTATCAAAATTGTTTTTCTAAAAAATTTTATCATCTAACATATATCTTAGAATATATCATCTTAAAGAAGACATTGTAATCTTTCATTTAACATAAACATAGTCTTTTTACTCCAAGAAATAAACCGGAAGTGATTTTTTAAAAATATCGATATTTCTCCAACCTGTTCATACATAATGCTTTTCAAAACTGTTTTTCTAAAAAATTTTATCATCTAACATATATCTTAGAATATATCATTTTAAGGAGGACATTTTAATCTTTCATTTAACATAAACATAGTCTTTGCACTCGAAGAAATAAACCGGAAGTGATTTTTTAAAAACATTGATATCAATTAAAAATTTTCTCCAACCTCTTCATACATAATTTTTTCAAAATTGTTTTTCTACTAAATTTTATCATCTAACATATATCTTAGAATATATCATTTTAAGGAGGACATTTTAATCTTTAATTTAAGATAAACATCACCTTTGTACTCCAAAAAATAAACCGGAAGTGATTTTTTAAAAATACCGATATTTCTCCAACCTATTCATACATAATTTTTTTCAAAATTGTTTTTCTAAGAAATTTTATCATCTAACATATATCTTAAAATATATCATCTTAAAGAGGACATTTTAATCTTTAATTTAAGATAAACATCATCTTTGTACTCCAAGAAATAAACCGGAAGTGATTTTTTAAAAATATCGATATTTCTCCAACCTGTTCATACATAATTTTTTTCAAAATTGTTTTTCTAAGAAATTTTATCATCTAACATATATCTTAAAATATATCATCTTAAAGAGGACATTTTAATCTTTAATTTAAGATAAACATCATCTTTGTACTCCAAGAAATAAACCGGAAGTGATTTTTTAAAACATCGATATCAATAAAAAGTTTGTCTAACCTCTCCAAACATAATTTTTTTCAAAATTGTTTTTCTAAAAAATTTTATCATCTAAGATATATCTTAGAATATATCATCTTAAAGCGGACATTTTAATCTTTCATTTAACATAAACATCGTCTTTGTAGTTCAAGAAATAAACCGGAAGTGATTTTTTAGAAATATCGATATCAATTAAAATTTTCTCCAACCTCTTCATACATAATTTTTTTAAAATTGTTTTTCTAAGAAATTTTATCTTCTAACATATATCTTAGAATATATCATTTTAAAGAGGACATTTTAATCTTTCATTTAACATAAACACCGTCTTTGTAGTTCAAGAAATAAACCGGAAGTGATTTTTTAAAAACATCGATATCAATTAAAATTTTCTCCAATCTCTTCATACATAATTTTTTCAAAATTGTTTTTTTAAGAAATTTTATCATATAACATATATCTTGGAATATATCATCTTAAAGAGGACATTTTAATCTTTAATTTAAGATAAACATCATCTTTGTACTCCAAAAAATAAACCGGAAGTGATTTTTTAAAAATATCGATATTTCTCCAACCTGTTCATACTTAATTTTTTCAAAATTGTTTTTCTAAGAAATTTTATCATCTAACATATATCTTAGAATATATCATCTTAAAGAAGACATTTTAATCTTTAATTTAAGATAAACATCATCTTTGTACTCCAAGAAATAAACCGGAAGTGATTTTTTAAAAACATCGATATCAATTAAAAATGTTCTCCAACCTCTTCAGACATAGTTTTTTTCAAAATTGTTTTTCTAAGAAATTTTATCATCTAACATATATCTTAGAATGTATCATCTTAAAGAGGACATTTTAATCTTTCATTTAAGATAAACGTCATCTTTGTACTCCAAGAAATAAACCGGAAGTGATTCTTTAAAAACATCGATATCAATTAAAAATTTTCTCCAACCTCTTCATACATAATATTCTCAAAATTTTTTTTCTAAGATATTTTATCATATAACATATATCTTAGAATATATCATCTTAAAGAGGACATTTTAATCTTTAAGTTAAGATAAACATCATCTTTGTACTCCAAAAAATAAACCGGAAGTGATTTTTTAAAAATATCGATATTTCTCCAACCTGTTCATACATAATTTTTTTCAAAATTGTTTTTCTAAGAAATTTTATCATGTAACATATATCTTAGAATATATCATTTTAAAGAGGACATTTTAATCTTTAATTTAACTTAAACATCATTATTGTACTTCAAGAAATAAACCGGAAATGATTTTTTAAAACATCGATATCAATTACAAATTTTCTCCAACCTCTTCAGACATAGCTTTTTTTAAAAATGTTTTTCTAAAAAATTGTATCATCTAACATATATCTTAGAACATATCGTTTTAAAGAGGACATTTTAATCTTTAATTTAAGATAAACATCATCATTGTACTCCAAGAAATAAACCGGAAATGATTTTTTAAATCATCGATATCAATTAAAAATTTTGTCCAACCTCTCCAAACATAATTTTTTTCAAAACTGTTTTTCTAAGAAATTTTATCATCTAACATATATCTTAGAATATATTATTTTAAAGAGGACATTTTAATCTTTCATTTAACATAAACATCATCTTTGTACTTCAAGAAATAAACCGGAAATGATTTTTTAAAACATCGATATCAATTACAAATTTTCTCCAACCTCTTCAGACATAGCTTTTTTCAAAATTGTTTTTCTAAAAAATTGTATCATCTAACATATATCTTAGAACATATCATTTTAAAGAGGACATTTTAATCTTTAATTTAAGATAAACATCATCTTTGTACTCCAAGAAATAAACCGGAAGTGATTTTTTAAAAACATTGATATCAATTAAAAATTTTCTTCAACCTCTTCATACATAATTTTTTCAAAATTGTTTTTCTAAGAAATTTTATCATCTAACATATATCTTAGAATATATCATTTTAAAGAGGACATTTTAATCTTTCATTTAACATAAACATCATATTTGTACTCCAAGAAATAAACCGGAAGTGATTTTTTAAAAACATCGATATCAATTAAAAATTTTCTCCAACCTCTTCCAACCTTTTTTATGATATCATAAAATTTATGACACGCGCCCGCTCATGTTACAAAATTAATAAGTTAAGTACTTACTCATCTTCTTTATAATAATCCGAAAATAATCCAGCAACAAGACTTTTTTTCCTCCACCTAGGCACCTTTTTATGTTTCTTATCATCACCGGAAGCGGACCCTCTTTCATCCCTCAACCTTTTTTCAATGGATGGTTCAACACTACTCGCGGGAGAAACATCCCTTAATTTCCTTTTAAGCCTCCTCTCACTCGTCCTCCGATACAAATTCCTTAAACCCTTCTTTTCCAAACGTTTTAATCGAGATTCTAAACTCTCCTCGTCGTCCGATTTACTAACAACCGCCGATTCTTTCCGTTTTTTACTAACTTGACCGCCGCTAGTTCGAGTATCAACCGAACTACACGGTGAGATATCACGTTTCCTCTCATTTTTTAATTCATCGAATTCAATCCTTTCATCTTGCGGTAAACTATCGCATTCACTCACACTTTCCCATTTCAAAATATTTTCACTTTCCTCGTCTTGTTGGATAACTTGTTGTAATTTTTCGAGGGGAATTACCGAAACTTGACACGTCGTCCTTTGCAAAAACGAAGAGTATTCCTCCCCATCTTTCGGAACGCGATCATCAATCGAAGTAATTAATTTCGGCGGTTCTTCGATTATTTCTTCGACTACGCAAGGGGTGGGTGGAGTTTCTAATTTCTTTTTCTTCTTTTTCACGGTGGGAAAACCGGTGCGATTAATCGCGCGACGTTTCCGAATTTTTCGTTTAATCGCGGGTGGTTCTCGTTTCAGTTCTTCTTGCGAATCGTTTTCTTTTACGTCCGTTTTTTGTTCGTTGGATTGAACGGATTCCGCGGGTGTTTCTTCTAAATGGGTTTCTAATTCTAAATCGACGGTTGGGGTGAAAACCCCCGGTTTTATATCGATTGGGGTTTCTTTCGGATTTATTTTTGAAACTAAATTTGATGTTAAATCTTCCAAACGATTCTTTTTTCGGGTTATCATTTGGGCGTCTTTTTTTGGGTCGTTTAGTTTTGGGGAGATTTTCATTTTTATTTCGGATACGACGTTTTCTAATGATTTTGATTTCTTTAAATCGTCGGTTTTTAAGATATCTATTAGGTTATTTTTTGCTATATTTAATAGGGCTATTTCTTGATTGTTTGCGATTTCTAATAGATGGCGTTTTTTCGGCGTTGTAATCGGACCAACAGGGACATTTTTTTCTTCTTTTTCACTCGGAGATGATTCTTGGATTTTTCCATCTTTGGAATATTTATTTATACAAGCTTCGATTGCTTCGTCAATATGAGTTTCGACTTCATATTCGTTATTATTAGTAACATCTTGAGGCGATGCATTTCCTTTATTATTATTATTATTGTTATTGGGAGTTTTTAAATCTTTTTTCTCTACATTTTTTTCTACATTTTTTGAGTTATTTTGTGGCAACTTATTTTCTTTCATTTTTTTATCTAAATCTTCTTCTTTCTCCGTGTTATTTTCCGCGATTAATTTATAATGTCTTTTTTTTAGTGGTAATCTCTGATCGATTGCCTGATCTTGATTATTTTCCGAGTTTAACGTGGTTAGTTTTTTCTTTTTTCTTTCTGAATATTCCGAAGCTTTACGTTTTTTTGAAGCTTTTTTTAACGCTTTGATTAAAACGTCGGGATTTTCAACCTTCGATTTCGGGCTGATGTTACACATTCGCATAAAATCAATAACTAATTTTTCAATTTCCGTGTTTATTTTTGGATCGGGTGTGGTTGTAATCGGTTTTAGAATTTTAAATCGACATTTTTTATGTTTTTTATGTTTATGTCGACTGTGCATTACCTTAACAGGGCAAAATTTACGAATATCCGCCTTCGCCTTCGAAGAAACAACGCTTAATTTATTTTTAGATTTTAACTTTTTCGATTTTTCCGGTTTTAATTTGCTTTGTTCTATCCTTTTATAAACTTTTTCGCAAATTTGTTTAATTTTTTCCGTTTTATTTTTATCCTTAACAATTTCTTTCTGATTATCTTTTACTTTTAATACATTTTTCTTCTTATTCTTATCTTGTTTTAGGGGCAATTTTTTATCATCGACATTTTTATGTTTCGGCGGTCTTCCCGGTCCTTTTTTATGGACAATTGGAGGCCTCCCAACTTTCCTCCTTTGAGGATACAAAACTCGATCAACATGCCCATACAATAACCTATCAAATTTGTTACAAGTCACTGGTAATTTACTTTGCTCCTTCAATTCTTTTAATTTCTCATCTTTTTTCGCATTAACTTTCTTTTCAAATTTATTTTTCGGCAAAGGACTCGCTTCTGGGCTTGAAACATGATCTGGGCTATTTTGTATCCCCGAATCTGGCGAAACATTCGGATCCCCAGAAAAATCCACCTTATTATTATTATTATTTTTTTGATTATTTTGTACCACAGCCACTTTCCTCGGTCGCCCCCTTTTCCTTTTCACCTGCTCTTTATCGCCCTCTTTATTATTTTGATTTTCCGAATTCGCATTCGAACCCCTAATTAACCCCTCAACTGTAGGCGGCACCGAAGAAGTATTCAACATTTGAGTTTGCACCTCAAATTGTTGCAACAAACTATTTGAATATAACGAGCTTGGTGGGACATCTTGCGAATCATTCTCGCTCTCACTCTCGGTCGTTCTTTGTATCAAAGCATTCACCGCTTGATGAGGAAGTTCCATATCCGATCCAGAACCATCTTCAGCGATTATCATCGAAGAGGCATCCGGAAAAGACTCCTTTTGTTGTTGAGGTTGAATCTGATTCGTCGAAATATTCTTGTCGAAAACCGTGAAGTTATCCAATTCCTCTTGGGGGTCATCTAAAATCGCCGCTACATCCTCTTGATTTAATTCCTGCAGCACTCCATAATTCACAATTGCGGTGTCGGTTTCCTCAGATTCCTCCGTATCCGAACTTGAAGACGTCCCCCTTGAAATCGGAAGTGACGCCATCTAAAAATAAAAGAAACCTTGTGTTATTATAAAAAAATCGATTAAACACGACCGGTTATTCTCGGTGATTCACTTTGCGTGTTGAAGGATAAGGTTAAAAAAATAATGCACGAAAGATTAATGCTAAAAAAGTGGACGTTGACCCGGAAAACTTTCTGGTGACTAATCCGAAGGAGAAAAAGGGGTGAAAATAAATGGGAATATAGCGAAGAAAAATTATAATACGATAAGAAAGAGTAGTTCTTTTTTTGTGATGCAAAAAAGCCGGGTGTTTTTAAGGCAGGTGTTTTTTTGGGCACACAAGGTGCACCAAAGATTTTTAATACATTTATGTTCTTCCTCACTTTAAAGAATTCCAAAAATATAATAATAATAATAGTTTATTGGCATAAAAGAATACTACAATGTAAGTAATACATTAAAATAACTAAGTATAGAGTTTGCCAAAGGGTATTTCCATCAGTAAGCCAATTTATGGCGTCCTGGTCTTCCTGGAAATCCCATACACAAAAAAAAGGAAATATATATAAAAAAAACAAAATAAAGTAATAACAAATCAAAATTAAATTCAAACTGAAACAATTATCGTGGCCAAACAAATAAAAATTAATAAATGTCCAACACAAAACAAACTAAAAAGAATATATATATATATATGTATATATACACTAATTCGAGTTGAAGGTAGAACGACGCGCTAGTCATTAAGCAATTTAAGACGCAGAAACCTTTTAAAAATGTGAAACGATGGTTGAGCAAAAAGCAGACTGTACTTATTCAAAACACATGCCACGTTATAACTAATAGACCTCTTGAACAATTGGGTACGGTGACGAGAAATGTCAATGAGGTCCTTACGCCGTACATTAATATTATGAATGTCAGTTCTGTAAGTAATTTTGTTATAAGTAACTTTATAAAGAAAACAACCAAAATGTAACCGACGACGACTTAACATATTCAGCCACTTCAACTCCCCCAGCTTATACGATACTCTCTGACGTTGGCGTATACCAAATATAAAACGAATACAAGAATTCTGAACTACCTGAATACGTTGCGCATCAGCAGTCAACAGGCAGTGGCCGTAAATTATGCCACAGTATGTAAAATTGGATAAAATTAGACTCGCAAAGATTCTTTTTAATATCGGCGTTCAAGACTTGTCTATGAGCAAACAGCATTTTCAATTTTGCGTAAGCACGCCTGATCAGTTCACTTGTGTTACGTGTAAACCTTAATCTGTCGTCAATGTAAAGACCAAGATCCTTGACACAGACCTTCCTCTCCAATTCAATTCCATCTATAAAGATATGGGCCATATTGCTGACAAGCGCTTTGGATTCCCTACTTCCGAATCATCTGCAAATCATTGTCTGCCAATCTCTAAATCATTGCTTACATCCGCAACAGACTGTAGCACATTATTTAAGCTAAAGCTGTGGTAAAGTTGTGTGTCATCCGCATAGATATGAAATTTTGAGCAAAAGCGGTCAAAGATCAAAATTTGAGACGTATAGATAATGAACAAAAGGGGACCCAATGTAGAGCCCTGCGGCACACCAGACCTCAATACGGCAGGATCGGACACATCATTATCAATAATCACATATTGACTTCTCCCGCACAGATAATTATTAAAAAAATTTAAGGCTGTATTATTGAACCCAATATAATGAAGAATTGCTAAGAGAAGTTGATGATTAATAGTGTCAAACGCTTTAGAAAAGTCAAGTAAAACCAGTGTTGTTAAATACCTGGGTATTTATTTTCAAGGGAAAATTCCCTGGATATATACCCGGGGGTATTTACCCAAGATGGGTATTTAGAGGTATTTATAAAATTTGATTTAAATTGAGTTGATGGCAGTTTTGCAAGTACTTCAAGAATGCAGAGTCCATTATCGATACACCAAACTTATTTATAACATTTACAAGAATGCTACAATGACGGTAAAATTGCATGAAAGTACTGACCGAATACCCATTGGGCGTGGGGTAAGACAAGGCGATATAATGTTGAACCCAAATTGTTCATCACAGTCCTGGAGAGTGCATTTAAACAACTGGATTGGACCCAAAAAGGTATAAACATTGATGGCAATACCTAAGTAATTTGCGCTACGCGGACGATATAGTCCTTATTTCGGATAGCCTTGGAGAGATGAAACTGATGCTGAACATATACAGGAGGCGTGTGCAAGAGTCGGGCTAAATATCAACAAAATTTAGGACAAATCTTGTTCCAAGCTCTAACATCAATATTGGTGATAATGAATACTTCTATCTTGAATACTTTCGATGGTATGTCATTAATCCCTAACATGCCTTTCCATGTTTTGACGTAGTGATTGCGTTTTGAACCTCACTGATTGATATAGGTTCCATGACACTATCCTTTCTTTGGTGTGACGGACTGCTGTCTATTTCCAAATCAGTTTCTATGCTTCATAGGTTTTGGAAATAATTTTTCCAAATGTCATTCACTTCATTCTCACATATTATTTTTCCTGTTCCATGTCAGCATAGAGCTGTGTGCGCTTTGTGCCTTTGTCTTAACTGTCTAACAAATTTATACACATTCCTGGTGTTATTATCTTTAAAGTGTACATATATTTCGGGAAAGTTTCTTTAGAAGATTTCTTTAATGCTTGAAACACAACTTTGAATGTCCTGAATTGAGTATAAGTCTAATATTAATAACTAAATTCAATTTTTGTGCTTCATTAATTCTTGTTGTTTGATTCTTTTCTAGTCATATTGCACTGCCATCAAATCCAAGATTCCAAGATCCATGAGATTGTAGATTTCCAATTGAAAATTAAATAGTTCGTTTAAGATATTATTATTCTTCTTCTTTTATTCAGGTTGTAACCTGGTTTTTACGCATCATTCATGGTGTTTTATTAGAGTTGGAAATCCAACTTCTTGGTCTCCCGGGTTTCTTCTATTGGAAGTATTCATTAAATTTTTTTCCCCTAGCAAATCTCATGACATCTCCGATTCCACAAAATTCTCTTACAATTTTGTTCCTAACTCTATCTCTTCTTGTCTTTTCCACTATTGCTGTTAAAGTACTCATCTCAGTTGGTTCGCATCGCAGCGATATATCTTGGCCATGAGGTTCGTGTATCGAGAGATAATAATCAAACAAGCGAACTAAACAGAAGAATGATACTCGCATGGGCAGCCTACAGGAAACTTTGAGACATCTTCATGAGCGATATTCCTGTATATATAAAAAACAAAAGCTTTCAATTAATGCGTGCTTCCTCCTTTAATTATGACATACGGTTCCGAAACGTTAACATTAACGGTGGCTATTACCAGGAAGCTCAAAGTAACGCAAAGAAAGATGAAGAGGTCGATGCTGGGTGTAACCCTGAGGGGCCACATACGAAATGAAGACCTACGAAGAAGAACTGGCGTAAATGATGCGGTCAACATTGTGGCAAAGCTCAAATGGAAATGGGCGGATCATCGCCGCAAGAATGAAGACTGAGCAGTGGTTACCTGATTATAATACGTGATCGTTGACAATTCCTCGTCTCCAACGCCCATTTCATCATGTTCCTCTATATGTTTGTCCGAATCTGTTATATTTTTACTTTTATATGTACTGTTTGGGTATTTACCCTGGGCCGGGGTAAATACCCAGATAAATACCCATTTTATAAATACCTACCCGCCGAGTATTTACCCAGCGCCCATCACTGAGTAAAACCAAAACAGTCGCCGCGCCATTGTCCGTTGCAGACATAACATCATCAATAATTCCGGAAACCGTTCCAAGTGCGCACGTATTTGTTCCGCCACGACCCTTTCCAAAATTCCCGACAAAGTACTCAAGATACTAATTGGCCTCACATCCGAGAAGGAAGAAGCAGTCGATGACTTAGGTATAGGAACAACTTTGGCAGATTTCCATTTCTCAGGAAAGACACCAAACTCTAAACAAAAGTTAATTACATGCAGGAGGTAGGGAGTTATGTGTGGACATATCTTCCACCTAATCATATACTTCTCGTAGATAATCATTCTGTACTTGGCAATATGTACTTTCATAAGCAACAAGTATGTATAGTATTATCACTAGAACTAACACAAGACCTAGAACTAGAATCATTCGGGTTGTGAAATAATTAACACCATTATTGTAAAATGATCTGTACAAAAAGTAAAAATATTTGACGTTTAAACGTCAACTTGACAATTAAACGTCAACATCGTTAAAGAAAGTAGATATTAAAAAACCACAAAAATCAATTAATTTGATGGAAAAAATCTTTGAAATATTAAATGTGGTGAAATATATTGATCTATCATAAAAGTTATAAAAAAAAACCGATAAAAAATATTCGACATTCATCAAAAGATTTCAAAAAATTTAGGTTGGTACGATTTTAGGGAAATGTGTTGTGGTATCTAAACGTCAAAATAATGTTCAAACGTTAAGATGACATTTGTATGTCAAAATTATTAAAAAAAATCAAAAAGGGTTATAAATAGAAAAAAAAAC